GCTCTCAGTGTACATAAAAGAAAAGATACATTCGTCAAGAGTTAAGATTCATAAAGTACAACACTTAAATGATAGTCATAGGGTACAATAAGCAATCAAATCATACCAGGAAACAATAAAAAATCGTTAGGGTACAAGCAATAAGGTTACAGTCATACAGTCACAAGTGGGAGAAGATGGGTAAAAGGAAAGATGGGAGGATTAATAGTAATAATAATGCAGACTTTGTAAATATTTGGACAGTGTTGAAGAAATTATTTGTTTAGCAGAGTGATGGGGTTCAGGAAAAAACTGTCCTTGAGTCCAGTTGTTCTGGTATGCAGGGCTCAGTCTATAGCGTCGTTTTAAGAGTAGAAGTTGAAACAGTTTATGTCCAGGATGTGAGGGGTCTGTAAATATTTTCACAGCCCTCTTTTTGACTCGTGCAGAATATACAGTTCCTCAATGGAAGGCAGGTTGGTAGCCATTGTTTTTTCTGCAGTCCTAATTACCCTCTGGAGTCTGTGTCTGTCTTGTTGGGTTGCAGAACCAAACCAGACAGTTATAGAGGTGCAGGTGAGAGGCAACTAGGTAACATCATCAGTGTTAGAAGGGAGTGGGGAGCAAACCATGTGGTGGCGAAATGGGCAAACTTAATAAATAAATAAAAGAATAAAACTAAAGAAATACTGGTGCAAGAGAGAACGATGCTTTTTCCCAACTAACTAATCTCCTTAGAAGACTAGAGGCCGTGTTTTGCCACCCAAGGCAATCTCATGAAACTGTTCCCAAGGTTTGCTCCTGGTTCTCTTCATAACCCAGTCTGTGTTCTTCACCTGGTTGTATTTCGCCCTTCCTAAGGCATTTTCCCCAACCACACACCTGAGGGTGGGGGGGGAAAGGGCTCTCTTAAAGATTACATTAAAGGAGTGGCCGAGATCAAATCATTGCCTTCCCTTTGCCACGGTAAATGCCATGCTGTGCTGGCGAGAATGCACGTCTGCGTTTCAGCTCCGGAGTTCCTGAACTCAACAAGGTATGCGGGCAGACCGGGAAAATGTCAGCACTATGTAGAAACTCCGGACTCTAGAAGCTTTCTGTTATTGATCTGCTGCCGGCTAACCTCAGCCAGGGTTGCTGTGTGTTGTATTTATTGTCCTAGACTGACACAAAGACAGGTTAAGTTTCCAGCTGATCAGCATTCCAGAGCATATTTTTGATTTTAACTCTTCTGGTGAGGGCATTCCTTTAGCACTTCTCCCCTCCCCAGAATGATTGTTTCCAATATTTCCTTTAGAGGGTTTTATAGTTCTCTCCTCTCCCTCTTCTTCTCCCTCTCCGCTCCATTCCCCTTCCTTCCCCTCCCCTCTCCCTCCCCCTTCCTTCCCCTCTCCTCCCCTCTCCTTTCCCCTCTCCTCCCTTCTCCTTTCCCCTCCCTTCCCCTCTCCTCTCCCTCCCCTTCTCTTCCCCTCTCCCTTCCCCTCCCCCCCCCCCTTCCTTCCCCTCCCCTCCCCTTCTCTCCTCGCTCTTCCCTCCCTCCCTTCCTTCCAAGGGTGTCCAACCTGAGTCACTACGGATTTCAGCTCCCAGAATTCCCAGCTGGGGAATTCTGGGAGCTGAAGTCACTGGTCTTAAAAAGTTGCCAAATTTGGACACACCTGTTGTAGAGCTTTATGGGTGGTTCATAAACAACGTGTGCTTTCTCAGCAACCTCCTGATGGATTGTAACTAATTCCTTAACTCTCAGGAAGAAAACTCCGCCGTTCGGGGCCGTCTTTCTGGGTCAAATCAAGCTTTTGTTCACCTCCTGTTCCCTCTTCTTTTCCTTGATTTAGTGGGCCAAATGGAGAACATTTCACCTGGACAAATCATTGACGAGCCAATACATCCTGTGAATATTCCAAGGAAAGAAAAAGACTTCCAAGGAATGTTAGAGTACAAGAAAGAGGATGAACCCAAACTCATTAAGAATCTTATTTTAGGTGAGAGGCCTTTCTGCTTATGAAATGCGCCCTGTGGCGGTTTTGCAAACATGCGCCCTTTTTTCCCCCATTATGTACAATTTAATTGTTAAGTCTACTGCACAGCAGGTTCCCATTCTCTCCTTCAACAGCTTGATGCTCTCCTATTCTATAATAAGCCCAGATATTTTTTTTTTAAATTGGTGATTGCACAAAGGAAAACAAACTTGGAATAGAATCAGTAGCATCCATTTAAAAAGAACAGAGAAGTAGTATTACTTCAAAAGGCTTTTTTAAAAAAAAATTGTTTTGCTTTTGAGTCAATCTGGACAAGTTCTTGGCAAGCTTTTTCAAAGGTGGGTTGCCATTGCTTCCCTCTGGGGGCTAAGAGACGCTGGTCGGGTGTCGCAGTCGACTTCTCACCTAAGGCAGGACAAGAACTCGTATTTTCCTAGTCCCCTTGAACCACTTCTGGCTCTCTGCTGTTTTATTAGGGCATGTTGAATACAGTGATGCAATATATAGGGAGCGCAATGGCTCAAAGCTTGTCAGCTCCCATTCCTTACCTCAGCTCCTGCCCACCTAGCACTTTGAAAGCATGCAAATGCAAGTAGATAAATAGGTACCACTTCGGCGGGAAAGTAACAGCATTCTATGTGCCTTTGGCTGGCCAGATGACCACGAAAATATCTTCGGACAAGGCTGGCTCCTTGGTTAAGAAACAGACATGAGCGCTGCTCCTTAGACACGACTGGGACAGGGGAAACCTTTACCTTTAAATACAGTGATTTACGAATTCCTGTGTTCCTTTTTGTGACTTCTCCCTCCCTCAGACCTGAAGCCTCGTGGAGTGGCAGTAAATCTCATCCCAGGGCTGCCAGCTTACATTTTGTTCATGTGCGTCCGCCACGCCGACTACCTTAACGATGATCAAAAAGTGAGGTCCTTGCTGACTTCTACGATTAACGGCATCAAAAAAATTTTGAAGGTCAGTTTACGGTTTCAATTGAAATGTCACTCTGGAGTTTATTAAAAATACTGTTGATGAGCTCTGTATCATACGGACTCTGTCATGAAAACGCGATCATCAACTAACGTATTTTTCTGTTAGAATAATAAAGGACAGCCTAGCCCCGTGATGGTGAACCTATGGCACACGTTTCACAGGTGGCACGCAGAACCATTTGTGCGGGTATGCGAGCCACAGCCAAACTTACCTGCACTGCGCACGTATGTGCCTCCCAGCTGGTTTTCAGCCTGTTTGAGGCCTTCTTCGGCCTCCCAGAGGCTCGAGGGAAGCCGCTGCAGGCCAAAAAACAGGCCCATTTCGTCACTTCTGGTACTTCCAGTTTCGTCACTTCAAGTATTTGGAGGCCGAAAAATAGGCCCATTTTTCGGCCTCCAAAGGCTGCAGAGGCTTCCCTTGAGCCTCTGGGAGGCCGAAAATCAGCTGGGAGGTGCATGCATGCAAAATGCAGCTAAGGGGGAGTGTGTTGCATGTACATGCGCAGGGGGGGACACATTGCATTGTGGGTGCCGGCACACGCGCACTTACGGCACACCACAACAAAAAGGTTTGCCATCACTGACCTAGCCTCATCTCCATTCATGGCACAGATTCTGTGATGACCTGTAGTCTCTCAAAATAACCCAAAACATACATTAAAGTCCAGTAATGCCTTCAACTCAACCTCACTGTTTTATTAGGCACAGTTTAAAGTCACAAAAGTAAATATATTATGAGGCAAAAGGAAACCCAAAACAAACTGCATTGATGAGAGTTCCGAAGCAAACCAAGATAATTAATCATACATTCCAGGAAGATAACCGGGGAGAGTCCATGGGAAGAACGCCAACAAAGATAAACCTCATTCAAAGGAAGCACTAAATTTGACTCCAGCAATTCTGGCTATGCAGTTACAAACTTATATACATAGCTCCCAGCTGCAAGCCACGAGGAGGAACGTGGTAATCTCCCGAGTAGACCTCGCTTTTCCCTGATCCTCTCCTCTCTGCGTGCCCTAGGATGGATAGGGGATGGGCCTGGGTCCTCCTCTGACTGCTCAGCCGGCCTCTGCCCTTCCCCAGCCTCCTCCACCACCTCTGGAGCCACACTTTCACTCCCTGTTGGCTGTTCCTCCTCTTCCTCAGAGTCAGTCTCCACCAGGGGCATGACAGATTCCATGATGCAGAAATGGATTCAAAAATGGATTTAAAAAAAGGCAACTGGACTTTCGTTTTTTCCTCGAAGACATTTCGCCTCTCATTCAAGAAGCTTCTTCAGCCCTGACTGAACCTTCCTGGATGAGAAACGAAACGTCTTCAAGACAAAACGAAAGTCCAGCTGCCTTTTCGTGACCTGGATGACTGAGAACTTCCAGTCAAAGAGAGGCACACAGAACCCGGTAGAAGTGCTGCTGTACCTTTTATATTTTGTAAAAGAAATGTTCCATGGTCAATAATCTTGTGTTTTAAACCTCCTTTAATGCACGCTGCCTTTTCATTATTATTTCGTATTTTTTTGCTTTTAGAAAAGAGGCGATGACTTTGAAACGGTCTCCTTCTGGCTGTCCAACACATGCCGATTTTTGCACTGTTTGAAGCAGTATAGCGGTGAAGAAGTAAGTTCTCCGTTTTGGTTTATTTCCATTGGTGAAAGCACTTTGAAGGTCTGAAGTGGGAGTGAGTCTCATTCCTCTAGCAGGCTTAAAGAAAGTTAGCCACTGTGATGACCCGGGGTGTGGCACAAAAGCAACGAAGTCACAAGAGTAGGTAAAATCCCTTTAATAACTGCAACTTGGCCCCCAATGTCCAGTTGTCATTGGCTGGAGAAAAAACTCTGGCAAGAACAGTTTTTAAAGGGAAGAAATTCAGTCCGAACCCAAAGTACATCTAAATTATAAATAAAACCAACACAAACCACACTGCAGCAATTAATGAAACAGGGCAGGATAAGGAATTGAAGACTTCAAAAGATAACGAAACACACACAGTTGGGAGGACGCCAGAACCCAGATAAGACTAGACAAACAAAGATAATTCATGCTTTGCTTCCAGCAAGGTGCTGTGTGCAAATGCCCTTTTAAAATCCTGTTTTCCCAGCAGCAGGGAATCAGGGCCTTTTTCTCCCCCATAACCCACGTTGCTCCCTTCTCCGTTCCTCCTTGTGTGCCCTAGGATGAAGAGGGGATGGCCCTGGGTCTTCCTCTGAATGCCCAGCCGGACTGTGCCTTTCCCCAGTTTCCTCCACAACCACTGGAGCCACACTCCCACTCCATATCAGCTGTTCGACCTCCCCCTTGGAATCAGATTCCAACAGGGGCATGACACCCACACTGTTCTTCACCCAAATGATTTTTTTTAAAGAAGTCATTATCCTCCTCACCTGTTTGAATGCGACAACATAAAATACATTAATGTAAAAAAAAAATATTTCTTTCTCTCTGCCTTCAGGGGTTTATGAAACATAACACCACTCGTCAGAACGAACATTGCCTGACTAATTTCGATCTTGCTGAGTACAGACAAGTATTAAGCGACCTGGCCATCCAGATTTACCAGCAACTCGTTCGAGTTCTAGAGAATATTTTGCAGCCCATGATTGGTAAGGCGAAAGTGAAGGACGTGAGAGAAAAACCAGTGGAGATTTTTTTGGTGGGGCGGGGGGTGTGTGTTTCTCATTAAGAAAGTCATTTTCATCGTTTGGATTTTTCTCTGATAATGTCCATCAATATTACTATGCAATGAAAGAATTTTGTTTTGTGTCAATTGTGTAAGCCGAGTTCAGAGGTTAATTTTGCTACGTGCTAATGCCATCCTAAATTGCATTAACAGACGGATATGATCAAGATCAAGTGAGGTACTAATACCACCCTATAAAGCCTTAGTAAGACCACACCTAGAGTAATGCGTCCAGTTTTGGTCACCACACTATAAAAAGATGTTGAGACTTGTGGTGGACTGGCAATTGAAAAAATGATGGGAGACGCAGGGAAGACGTCTGAGCAACTGCCAGCCCCGAGAGCCCTCGGGTAGCAGTATTTATTAAGAAAATGCAAATACAAAATCAAAACAATGACTTCAACATTAGCTCAGCAACATTATCTAGCTAGGCCTCAGCAAAGGTGATAAAGTTCCCGTGAGAAAGCAGGGCACCAAAGGTCTCATGGGAATGGCTCGGCTAGGTACTGTGAACTCCCACACAGATTCCTGGTCTCTGAGCTTAGCAGACCATAACAGGATCAAACTCTCATCATAAAGACACTACTGCCCTCATGAGGAGCGTTTGTGATACCCCCAGATCTTACAAAGCTGTACAAGAACTTGCAGAATATGATGGATATATTACCACATTCCCTCCTTTTTTATTTATTCAAAGATAGGGGGTGTTTCAGTGGCAAAATACACAGTTCCCTCGCAAACTTGGTTTCGTATACTTAAGGCTGAGGCACACATTTGAAATAGATTAGGAATACATTGAATACAGCAACATAACATAATAAGTGTAATAACAATTATTACAACTAATTGAAGCAATAAACGTAACCATGAGCTGTCAGGAAGCCAATCCCATAGCAAAGCCCAAAGTGACTTATTGAAGCCATCTTTTCCTGCTTCGTGTTCAGCTATGCGGTCTTCCATATCATGAACAGTTCTTGTAATGTTAGGCTCATAATTATGTATAAAAAACACAACAATGTAAATGAATTAAAGCACAAACTCCTAACATTATATCTAAAGCATAAAGTAACTTGGCGAATTTCAGACACTTCTTCATTTAACATCTTAATATTCTCAACAGTATCATAAAACATAGCAACAGTAAAATTATTTAAAATATGAATATCTCTATAGTTCATAGCTATTCCAAAAGGTGGGTACATGCATACAAAGCTAACAATTAGTTACATTTAAACTCTTTGCTGCAATCCGAACGTCCTTGATGTAGGAATTTTCCTTCCATAAATTATCACCAAGGTCTCTAGTTTCTGAGATAATAGCAGCTCTCCGCCTCCGCATTAGAGTCCGTGGAGGCATAAGACGAATGGAAAAAGAAGTTGTGTAAAGTAACTTAGGCAACTCCAATTGACACCAATATTGTCCATAGTCTGAAACAGAAACATTAAACAGAATCAGAGTTGTAGCACAGGCTGAAGATATAATATCCTTATCAGGTCCCGAGTAAAGAATGTCTTGACCCTTATGCCAGGACCAATATGCTGGAAAAATCAAAAGATGCCGCTGTTTGCAGATTAATTTAGTCCGATTCCCCAAAGGAACCTGCTGCATACAAGTTGATAACCTCGGATAAGCAGTCATCTTTTCCCAGCTTTCACAGCGCCACGCCTGGACTGCCGGCATCAAGAGAATCAGGAACCACGGAAACGCCATCCTGAGAATCAGGAACCTCAGGAACGGAATCAGGAACCACAGGAACGCCATCCTGAGAATCAGGAACATCCCTCACTGGCACCTGCGAAGGCGCTTGTGAATGATCAGGCCGGATACATCGACCAGGAACCCAACGAATTTGACCAAGATGTTCTACTGCTGCATAACCACGTCCCCACGTAATCAGCTCAGCAGGAACCCATGCTGGATCCGGAAGGAATCGCACCAACACTCGAGGTCTCACTGCATCTGTAGAAGGGGAAGAAAAATGCCTGCTGGCCGCGCTCGCAGGGGGGTTACCAGACAAATTTAAAAAATTTAAAGTATACAAAGCAAGATTTAAATGATCTTGAATTGCCGGAAGCCCCAGGAGCTTCCCTCCTTTTTTATTTAATTTAGCTAACATGTTCTTGAGCGTGCCATTATAACGCTCCACAATAGCTTGTCCTGTGGAATTGTATGGAATTCCAAATTTATGTTCCACGGACCACTGTTTGCAAAACTGATCAAAGACTGTGCTCCGATAAGCCGCACCATTGTCTGTTTTTAAAGTTTGAGGCGTACCAGCGACTGAAAATGTCTTAATGCAATGATTGATGACATGTTTAACCGCTTCACCTCTTTGAGGAGTAGCCATTAGAAATCCTGAATAAGTATCCACAGTCACATGTATATACTTCCAAGGTGCAAATGATGGATACTGAGTAACATCCATTTGCCAAATCATTGAGGGTTTCAACCCCCTGGGGTTGACTCCCATAGGAATAGCTGTGCCTTGCTTTGAACAAGTTGGACATTGTTGAATTATGGCAGCAGCTTCTGCAGCAGTAAGCTTGAATTGATGTGCCAACGCTTTAGCATTTTGATGAAAATAACTATGGCTGTCCCATGGCTGGACAGTGAGAACTGAAGTTACAGCACTGTCAGCTTTGGCATTGCCTTGTGATAAAATTCCAGGTAAATTACTATGACTACGGATATGGGCAATAAAACACACATTCATACGCTGCTCCAAACATTCTTGCAACAACAAAAGCAAACGTAGAATATTAGGTGATATTCCAGGAGACAAATAAGAACCTGCTACAAAGGGTAACAAATTATATACATACAAAGAATCCACTATTAGATTAAAATCCTGATTTTGAAAATTTTGAAAAGCCAAAACCACAGCAGCAAGTTCTGCCTGTTGGGCAGACTTCTGCTCTGATGTCACTTTTGTATGCCAAATTCCAGATTTATCTTTCCAAACACAAGCACCAAAAACTTTCCCTCCATCAGTAAAGACTGTAGGAGCATCTGATATACTGATTACTGATTTAGGTCACACCCTGTCCCATTGATCTCTCATTTTGCTGACTTTGACCCCCCCCAGGAGCCCGACATTGCGCTTTAAAATGTCCAGGCTTCCCACAATTAAAAAAAGTTTCTTTTTTAGCATTTCCTGCCTGGAGAGCCAGAACTAAAGTCTCCATGTTAAAAGTCTGACTCCCCACCTTTTGGCAATCTGCGTTAGCCTGATTTACTGCTAACTTCAAAAGCAATTCATTCCGGGCAAATTGATTGTCAATTTGCCTTTCAATAGCCACTTTCAATCTGCTAATGAAATTTTCATAGGGTTCATTGTTTCCTTGTTTGATGTTAGTAAAGGTCTTCTCACCACCTTCGCCGTCAGGGAGAGTCCGTACGGCTTGAAAAATTAACTGTGGGAGAAGAATGAACCCCTCCTCAGGCATTCCATCTCGCTGTAATTCCACTGTTGTAAAATTACCAGATCCATAAAGCTGATCTGGAGTAACATTTGCTGTTCCCCTTTGAACTGCCAGCTGTCTCCATTTCTGATCTAACACCAAATATTGAGCTGGAGTTAGAATCATATTAAATAGAGCTCTCCAGTCAGCTGGAATCATTTTATTTCCATAGCCAACTGCTTCTAACAATGCCTGAGTGTATGGCGATCTAATACCATACTCTTTTGCTGCTTGCTTAACTTCCTTTAAAATCTTAAGAGGCAGAGGCTTCCATATTCTCTGTGGATTTAAAGCAGCATCTACACCAATTTCTACTGGATTAAGTTGAATCTCCACTCCAAAATCTACCAAATCATCTCCTGATAATTCCCCTCTATTTGTTGCTTCTTGAATAGCTGCAGTAACTGCATCTACTTGAACTCTTAAAGGCAAACTCTTCTCTTCTGACAAAGTATTTTCAGTGCTTGACAGCCCTCTGGATTTATCTGAAGGTGCTGTCGGTGGCAATATACGTACCGCATTGTAAGGCGGCAAACCTTCTTCGGGGGGTGCTAGGAGCGGTTGTTCATGCGTAGCTAATGCATCCATAACCACCCTCCAGGTTAACAAAATTGAAGAAGGGGCACGAGGCTCCTCGTGCAAAAATTTCCCTATCTTTCTCCAGCACTCTACTTTAATACTACCTCCCTCTGGATAACACGGAATATGTTTCCAAACATACTGTAATAAATCCTCAATTTCTTTCTTTCCTACTTCATGTCCTCTACTATGAACTCCAAACTTAAAACTATTCCCAGCGATCTCTCTCATTTCCCTAAGGTGCTTTGTCTGAGCTTTCGAGAGACCTTCCCCCATACTCACGAAAAGAATCTGTCTCCGTCCAGCGAAGAAGATGAGGGCCCAGTCGACGTCCGCGACGATGAGTATAGGATGCGGGAAACGTATAGCTTTCAAGCTATCACGCCAAAACGTATAGCCTTCCAAACTATCACGTCGGAACGTATAGCTTTTCAAAGCTATCACGTCGGGGTCACCACTTGTGGTGGACTGGCAATTGAAAAAATGATGGGAGACGCAGGGAAGACGTCTGAGCAACTGCCAGCCCCGAGAGCCCTCGGGTAGCAGTATTTATTAAGAAAATGCAAATACAAAATCAAAACAATGACTTCAACATTAGCTCAGCAACATTATCTAGCTAGGCCTCAGCGAAGGTGATAAAGTTCCCGTGAGAAAGCAGGGCACCAAAGGTCTCATGGGAATGGCTCGGCTAGGTACTGTGAACTCCCACACAGATTCCTGGTCTCTGAGCTTAGCAGACCATAACAGGATCAAACTCTCATCGTAAAGACACTACTGCCCTCATGAGGAGCGTTTGTGATACCCCCAGATCTTACAAAGCTGTACAAGAACTTGCAGAATATGATGGATATATTACCACAGAGACTCTAGAAAAAGTGCAGAGAAGAGCAACCAGGATGATTAGCAGACGAGGATAAAATGTTCAATGAACTGGGCTGGGCTAGTCTAGTAAGGAGAAGGACCAGGGGAGACAAGATAGCGGTCTTCCAATATTTGAGGGGCTGCCACAGAGAGGAGGAGGAAGGGGTCAAGCTGTTTTCCAAGGCACCTGAAGGCCAGACAAGAAATAATGGATGGAAACTGAACAAGGAGAGATTCAACCTGGAAATAAGGAGAAACTTTCTGACAGAACAATCAACCCATGGAACAGAAGTTGCCCTCAGACATTGTGGGAGCGTCATCACTTGAGACTTTCAAGAAGAGATTGGACTGTCATTTGTCAGAAATGGTGTCGGGTCTCCCGCTTGGGCAAGGGGTTGGACTAGATGACCTACAAGGTCCCTTCCAACTCTGATTATCTGTTATGCTTAGGGTTATTAAGCAAATCAAGCAGTGGCTGTCTATAGCTACTACAGGTAGTCCTCGACTTACCACAGTTCATTTAATGACTGCTCAAAGTTACAGTGGCGCTGAAAAAAGGTCTTATCATATTTCATGCTGATGACCATTTCTGCACCCCCATAGTCAAGTCATCAAAATTCAGACGCTTGGCAACTGACTCATATTTACAACTGTCTCACCTAGCAGCCGAAATTTTGGGCTCAACTGTGGTCGTACGTCAAGGACTACCAGTATTTATGATGTCTGTGCCCTGCTTACAGGGCCCAGCACAGCTGTCTGTTGAGAACTGGCCGACGCCAAAGAGGTTTTCTGGTTCTTAAGACCCACTTATGGACTTCCCAACAGTAGCTAGTCTGTGCAGTGCTTGAGTAACTCTCCTTGAGGTGGCTTGTCCTATTCCAGGTTTATCTTTGGCCATTTGGAGAAGACTTGCTGGTGCGGTGGCCTAGAGGTGGAGCTCTCACCTCACAATCAGGAGGCTGGGAGTTCGATCCTAGGGAGAGACGGAAATTTCTCTCTCTGGGTACAATGAGAATGTATCTGCTGGGGGGAAAAAACCTCCGCATTGGTGACAGGAAGGGCATCCGGCCAGCAAACAGTCAGCTCCATTCAGTTGCCCAGACATCACCTCGCAAGGGGTTATAGAGTCATTAAAGGAATATGATTTGGTCAAGACTTGCCTGTTTCAGTAGATTTTTTGGGGGGTTAGTAATGAACTGGACATTTGCTTTCATTTTAGTTTGACGTGTTCCTGTGCCACAGTTGTTTTCTCGTTAACGGTGTCCTTACTTCCTTATTTTCAATTTTTTTAAGGAATATTTGTCATCGTTTATCCCTGCTTCATTTGTTTCGGAGTTATTCCTCAGTTGAGTTAATGTGACCCCCTTTTCTCAGTTTCAGGCATGTTGGAGCACGAAACCATCCAAGGAGTGTCGGGGGTGAAACCCACCGGCCTTCGAAAGAGAACCTCTAGCATCGCCGACGAAGGGACCTACACCCTGGATTCCATCCTCCGTCAGCTGAACACCTTCCACTCCATCATGTGCCAGCACGGCATGGACCCTGAGCTGATCAAGCAGGTGGTCAAACAGATGTTCTACATCATTGGGGCCGTGACCCTCAATAACCTTCTGCTGCGGAAGGACATGTGCTCCTGGAGCAAAGGAATGCAGATCAGGTGGGGGAGATCTCTTCTCTTTCCGAAGATCTTAAGTCCTTCGGGATCCATTTCTTGGCTGAGCAGGGAGTTATTTTGAGTCAGCTCTGTTCTTAACCTGCAGGTCTTGCTGGGCTGAAACATTTGTTTACCAAGCAGGCAGGTCTCTAGCTGTGAAGGTTAGCCTGCCATATTTCTGTGCAGAATGAATGAAGGGTGCACGGATGTGTATTTCTGAAAGCATCTCTCGGATAAACAGTCACTAAACAGGGCAACTGTTAAGCAAAGGGTGCCTGTAGTTTGAACTCTAACGTTGTTCTGACCCAACTGGGATCCCAAAGAGCAAAGGCAGCAGCCCCCACCTTTTAAGGTTTAATAACGAATTCTGTTCCTTTCCACTAATTAGCTCTGACAAGAAAGAGCCTTGCCAAGTTGTTAGTCAAGGCTGCCAAAAACCCAGAGATAAGGACTAATTTACAAGATTATCCAAACATGAACTAAGTTGTCCGCAAGTTGAACTTCAGAGCTTCTTTGCTGTCTGCAAAGAACGCTTTTCCAAACCTGGCTTTTATCCTCTTGAGGGAGGGGCCTTTACCTTGCAGCCTTACTCCTGAGTCGCCAGTGCTGCTGTAACTGCTCTCTCCTACGATCAATCCTGTGTTTATGTGCACTTGGCACAGGCTCCTCGGGAACCTCTTCATCACTGCTGCCAGCCCCCACAATCTCTGAAGGCAGCAGTCCACTCCCTGATGGTCCTGGCCCCTCATCTGAGTCCTCACTCTCCTCAGCCATCCGCACCTGCTGCCGGCTAACCGTAACAAATGTGATGCTGTAAATGGGATACCCTGACAAATAACTTTCTTTTCGTATGCTGATTCATAATAATAGTAATGATCATCGATTACATTTAACTGCCGCCTGATTCTTGGCTGTTCTTGGTAACTTACAAATTGTTAGAAATGGGGAAAAAACAACAACAAAGGAACAGAGAGGTCAGAGAAAAAGTCTATTAACTATTTAAAAATCAGAATTCCAGAACAGACCAGTATGTTTTTCTATCTGAATCAAAACCTTGTCGTCCCCCCCCGCTAACTGAACACAGCTCAATGGGAAACATTTCCCTCTATCAAATTTCACGTGAAGTACCAGAAAAAGTAGGAATTAGGGAAATGTTCATTCCTTGTTTCGTCTTCTAAAGGTATTCTGAGCATTCTTGACCACAACAAGGAGCTGCTCCTTCCCTCGTAACGAACTAGTTTTGTTAATGATTAACAGGATTGAAGGGCTACTGAGCAAGCATGCCTCGAGAAAACAATTTCCACTTAGGCAGACTGACTTTAAAAAGTTGTGAAAGGTTTTTGATTGAATTATTATTTTTTGTTTCCCAAAACCCATCAACCCCGCAGGTACAACGTAAGCCAGCTGGAAGAATGGCTTCGTGACAAAAACCTGATGACCAGCGGTGCAAAGGAGACCCTGGAGCCCTTGATCCAGGCTGCTCAGCTGCTGCAAGTAAAAAAGAAGACCGAAGAGGACGCAGGCGCCATCTGCTCTATGTGCCACGCATTGACTACCGCCCAGGTAACCCTCTTCCTGGACAAGAGCAACGGAGATGATTAGGGGACTGGAGGCTAAAACGTAGGATGACCTGTTGCAGGAATTGGGTGTCAACTCATAAAACATTTCTAGGGTTGCCCTGAAGTAGGGGGTGGGGGGGAGAAATTTGGAGGTGCAGCGGGGCAGTTTAAAACCGAAAGTGCATCCCATTCTTATCTTGCAAAGATTGTAACTAAGTGACCGGAGTTTCTGCCCCCAAAAATCTCTTAATTGGAGAACGTGATTGATGACTCTCGGCTATGAAGGGGTTTCAGCTGGAGAATATGAATTATGATACACCCAGAAAGGTTGGGGGGAGGGGAAACAGGGTCATAGGTGATAGTAAATTATGTGTCCCAGAATCGGCTTCACACGGGTCATGCAGGCACGTTTGTTCCTAATAAATCCTTCGAAGTTTTTGAAGCTTGGCTCGAAGTCCAGGGGTGTCAAGCTCAATTTCATGGCGGGCCGCATCGAGGTTGTGTTTGTGACCTTGGTGGGCTGGGTGGGGAGCATGGCCAGCGTGACATCACTTGGGTTGGGGAGGCGCCTGCGTTGGCCCAAGGGCTCTGCCAGTGAAAAGGGGACCCCAAGCTTCGTTTTTGGTTGGGACGACCTCCTGTAACCCTCTGCCGGCAAAAACGGAGCTCGGGGGGTCCTACACGCAGCCCTCGCGAGCTCCATTTTTGCTGGCAGAGGAACCGCTGGCTGGTCCTTTGCTGTTTCCAGGGCCAGATTTAAGAACCCTGGATTCGGGCCCTGGGCCTTGAGTTTGACACCCCTGATCTAGTCTAATAAAGAGAAGGACTAGGGGTGACATGATGGCAGTGTTCCAATATCTAAGGAGTTGCCACACACAGACGAGGGAGTCAAGCTATTCTCCAAAGCACCTTAAAGGCAGGACAAGAAGCAAAGGGTGGAAACTAATCCAGGAGAGAAGCAACTTAGAACTAAGGAGGAAATTCCCTGACAGTTAGAACAATTAATCAATGGAACAACTTGCGTCCAGAAGTTCTGAATGCTCCAACACTGGAAGTTTTTAAGAAGAGATTGTACAACCATTTGTCTGAAGTGGTGTAGGGTTTCCTGCCTAAGCAGGGGGTTGGACTAGAAGACCTCTAAGGTCCCTTCCAACTGCATTATTCTGTTATACCACCCTGGCTGAGTTGACTGCACGCTTCACTTCTCTGTGCCTTTTGCCATTTTGCTCTTCCGGTGGAGTTCGCGTTCCCTGCTTGCTCAGCTCAGCAGGGCGAACCATAATAAAAATTCAAAGATTGAAAAGGAGGAAGCTTTGCAAACCCCTCTGCCGAATGCAGCCGACATGAAAGACAAAGGTCTCCGTTTTGGGTCCAGGATTTATTTCACGGAGAAGAATAGAAAGGCGCTCTTTGTTCTTTTAGAGGGAAGGATTTCTTTTTAATCCTTCGGAACGGAGCGCGATGTCTGTTTGGTACGATTGTGACCACTTGCATTCCAACGTTGCTCTCCACTGAAACAGGATAGACCGCTTGAAAGACTGTGCTTAGCAACGATGATTGGTTTGTTTTTTTTAAAGATCCTACAAAGTGATTTAAGATTTCAAGCTGAATGTAGATTTTATCTTAGATTACAGCAGGGGGTTCCCAAACTTGGCGACTTTAAGACTTGTGGACTTCAACTCCCAGAATTCTGGGAGTTGAAGTCCACAAGTCTTAAAGTTGCCAAGTTTGGAGACCTCTGATTTAGAGCGATCCTATTGCAATCAAACCATGATTAACGTTTCCCGTGACTTAAATTTAAAACATTTGTTGGGGGTAAATAGCAAGCATCTGTTAGGATTACCTTCTCCTTTTTTTCTTTTAGATTGTGAAAGTGTTGAACTTATATACTCCCGTTAATGAGTTTGAAGAAAGAGTGTCTGTGTCTTTTATCCGGACAATACAGGTAAATTTTTATTTTCTTGTCTCACGGGTGGTATCTACTGATATTGGAAGTGTGGTAAGAAGGACCATCCTACCTCCAAAGACTTGGCTTAGTTTTTTGGGGGAAAGGTGTGAGTGTCTAAGAAAATGTTTTCATATTAATGGAAGCAATAGGTCCGTGTTTATGGATCCTTTGGGAAGAGGAATGAAAAGTTTTCCCAGGCACTTTCTTGCACACTCAGCTGGTAGGAACAAGGACAACAAACATTTGTCCTTTATCAATAAATTGAGGCGAAATTGTATTAATGAAAACATTCAAGAACAGTGTACAACAACCACAGGCAATCTATGAAAACTGTCAACTCAAAAATATTTCTCTGGTGTTTTAGAGTTGCCAGCAGAAAGGGAAGGGGGAAAGTATTGCATTCTTTAAATGCTTCATAGATCATGTCTAGGCGACCGAAGCTTCTGGCACGCAAGATTATTATTAGGGAGCATGATTGATGACTCTTGGCTATGGACGTGTCCCATTGGAGAATATACCTCCAGGGAGTGGGGAAGACCAGGGTCAAGAGTGAAATGAATGATGTGTCTCAGAGTCTGCTACAGCCAGGTAGCACCAGCATGTTCACTCCTACTAAATCTTCTTTAAACTCTGAGAGATGTGGCTAGACTCATGATTTGAATGGGGGTGGATGCTGGAGCCCTGATGAAAATGTTGCTTTCTAAGCTCGTGCCTTCAAAAAGAGTGTTTAATATCTATCAGCGTTTATGGTAAATTCACTGCAGATTTACTTTCAAACAACATCTTGTCTTTCGTTCTTTTGAAAAATAAGAATAGAATTGGGTTTTTTAAAAATGTATATAATTCAAACAATCTTGGGTAGAATGTCCACCTGGGTACAGGTTGTCCTGGGCTTATGACCCCACTTGAACTCCAAATTTCTGTTGTTAAGTGAGACATTTTTAAACTGGGTTTTGCCCCAATTTAGGACCTTTCTTGTCTCCGTTGCTAAGTGAATCACTGCAGTTGTTAAGTTAGTAACCCGGTTGTTAAGTGAATCTTGCTTCCCCATGGACTTTGCTTGTCAGAAGGTCACAAAAGGGGGTCACGTGAGACCCCGGGACACTTCATCCATCATAAATGCGAGTCGATTGCCAAGCATCTGACCATGTGACCATGGGGAATGCTGCAACGGTCATAAAAAACGTGAAAAACGGCCACCACTCACTCTTTTTCCAGTGCCGTTGTAACTTTGAACAGTCCCTAAGAAGAACTGTTGCAAGCCGAGGACTACCTTTATTTAAACAAGACTGTCAACTAAAGAGATACTCCTTTGGTCTTTTTAGCTGCCAGAAAAAGAGAGTGGGAAAAAACAAGTCATTCCTTAAATGCCTAGATAATCAACTCAGCATCCTAAAGTTGTTGGAGCATAAGAAGGTTATTGGAGAGCGTGATGGATGAATCTTGGAGACGGATGTGTCCTATTGGAGAAATCACATCCAGGGGGTGGGGGAAAGACCAGGGTCAAGGGGGAAATGTATGATGTAATTTAGTATATTGACTGCACCCAGCCACGCGCCAACATGGCAATTTCTAATAAACCAATTTACTTTTTCTGAGATGCGGCTAGAGACTTTTGCTTTGAATGAGGTGGATTTGTTGGAGCCCAAACCAAGACACTAACGTGATCCATTATTCTCTTTGCAGCTGCGTATGCGAGACCGGAAGGATTCTCCTCAACTCCTCATGGATGCTAAACATATTTTCCCCGTCACTTTCCCGTTCAGCCCTTCCTCTCTCGCGTTAGAAACTATCCAGATCCCAGCAAGTTTGGGTCTAGGATTCATCACTCGGGTCTGAACCCAAGGCCGAGGGAAGCTGTCAACCGCCCATTTCTACCCATAATCTCTTTAACGCTGAAAATAAATTGAGTTCAGAAGCCATTGGGGGTTTGGGGAGGAATGGCGGGAAGAGACTGGAAGGGAATCAAGTATGTGCTCTCAAACTGCATTGCAGAAAACTGGAATGCGTCGTCAACATTCTCTCACCACCGGAAGCTGATAGAAACCACTGCACATTTGTAGAAATTCACCCGTTCCGTGCTGAGGCCTACCTAAAGTTTTCAGGTTAAGAAAAATATTAGTACACACCTTAGTGTTTCTCTCTCTTCCACCCCTCCCGCTCCTCAGTTGGTTGCAAGTTGTCTTATATTTGCCTTGTACGCCAAAATCAGCCTGTGACGGATAAACCGCGATGGGTTTTCCTTTTTCTTTTCCATATTAAGACCCCAAAATTATCATGTGCATCTGGTGGCAGAAATTACAATTGTGGGAAGAGGAGTCTTCTCAGTTTTAACGGTTCTGATAATCCCTATAATCTGTATTTTACACGTACGCTTTTTTTTTTGGTAGAAAACAGTCTGTGTCTCCACTGAGTGGAACGGCGTCATTCCAGTGCAATGGTGTGAGTGCGTTACCTCCAATCCATAATGTGTTTCTACGTTAAAGCTCCTTGTAAGGCATTTCAGCATATTTAAGTGACAAGTGATTTGCCAGTTTAATCACTGATCAGCCAGGTGTGATTTTCCAGAGAAGGATGGAAATATTAGGGGTAGCTTCTGTGTATGTGTATATAAACACAGACACACATATACATGTATAAATATATATATTTCAAAGACCTGAAAATTTAACAGAGACAGACAACATACAGTATCACTGATCAGGCATTTTGCCTGTACAAACCATAAAAACCATTGAAATAAATAGAAATAGTCATACTCTTAGAAAGCACCATTCATTAGGGCAAGGTTAAATAAGTTTTTTTTTTAATAGGTTTCAACCTTAGAGATAATTGATCAGGTCAATTGATTGCCTCCCTATTTATGTCAGGGTGTGACATAAATGATGAATTAATGAAAAATATTTTGATTTATGTTCTGGTACAATAGAGCTGCTTGTTAGTACTGTTTCAAACCATATCAGAAGTGTCGCAGTCTGTGGTGTTCTTTTAAATGTACAATAATTCTTAAGGAACAGAAATGCAGGTTTATAAAATCACTTTAACTTTTAATAGTCTGGTCTTTTAATAAGGTTTATGCCAGTGTCAAGAAGCATATAAGTAGTAACAGGAAATGATAACTTAAGCACAATCTAAGAAACCTGTTTTCTAAAGTCAAAAGAACCAACCCAACAATATTATGTTTTATATTTATTTATTGTTTTGGTATATGTTGCTTTTTGTGTTTTATTTGCCAGATGTGTAATGAGAGTGTGTAATATTTATTTTGGAGGTGGGGAAGAGGTTTTTTCCTTTATAGGGAAAGAGTTCATCTTAAATGCGCCTCAAACATTTAATCCTGGAAAAGATAGTATTCCCCTACCATTAGCACCACTCCCAATCTTACAATTTTCTTAAAAGCTTGCTACACATTCCTTTTTTAAAAATGTAATACTATCCCTGATTTGGACCTAGTTTATTAAACAAAAGGAAATATTCATTTTCTGTTTCCATGGGAACATTTCATTTAGACACATTATGAATACAATCTGATGAAAAGATTTTGCCGAAATCTCTCAGGCTGTTGATAGAAAAGTTGTCATGATTTTCCTCAGTGTGAAACTGACATTTTGAAATATTTGTGGACCTTCACTTAAAGTTCCCCAGGCTCCCTTAAAAAAAAAATACAGGTACGGTCAGTGATGATCAGAAATACAAAAGATGACATTACATATCCCGAGACTGCCATGTGCAATATTTTAATTTATCCTAACAATTGAATGATGTTTATTTTCAAACATATCTCTGCTGTAAAATGCACATTATTAAATTGGTCTAGTCCTGGACTTAATTTCTCTGTGCACCTAAAAGATGCTGTCACTTGAAACAGATTTAAATAGGTTTTCATGTGCGAAAGAGATGTGACTGACAGGGACATTGTTGAGGTAAATAAAAGAGGCCTGTTTTGGGGGGCCTTCCCCATTTTTTTTCATTTTTTTTATTGTGGGAAGGGAAGCAAATGCTCTGATTTTTTTTTTAAAAAAAAAGAAATATTCAGGTACTCAAGTATTGCCTTTAATACATGTTCTTTATTTATGATAATTAATAGGTCTTTACTTGAAAATGTGCATTTTCTTTTATAACTGGCACTATGTTTACAAAAGTGACTAAGAGAGTGTGTCCCTCCTAGGATTATTTTAAAATGCTCTATTCAAAGGTACACTTCTTCTGGCTCTGGCCAGTTGGGGCTTGATACCACAAAGGAGCTGAAAGTTGAGATCCTAGAGTGGCCATTTCCACCCTAATGGCTTCCTAAATGATCTGGACTCTATTCTCATAATCTCCCAGCCACAGGTGTAAATTAGTCAATTACCTGTTTGTTGTGTGGTCAGTTTCTCTCTGTGGGTGTGTGGTGTGCAGTCAAACAATAGGCGTCCAAAACACCTTTCTTAGAGAAGGTAAAAATACAAAAGAATAGAGTTTTGATCAGTCATCTTTAGGGCAATTATGGAGCATCAAAGAACTTTTCCAAGATGCTGGATCTGCTTTCATTTGGCATTGGCGATTGCCTTGGGGGGGGGGGTTATCTCCCCCCCCCCAAGTTTTACACCCATGCTCCTAGCGAGATTTGCAGATTTGCCACACTAGTTGTGGATTATGAGAGTTCATGTTCAGAATCTTAGATGGCTACTCAGATGGCAAAGTACACTAAACTTCTCACTGGATTCTTAGCATACTGCACAACAGATGTGTCCAACTTTGACAAAATTTAAGACTTGGGGACTTCAGTGCCCAGAATTCCCGAGCCAGTCATTCTGCCTGGGGAATTCTGGGAGTTGGAAGTCCACAGGCCTTAAAATAGCCAGGGTTGGACATCCCTGCTGCATAATGAAAAGGCTGTAGCAGAAATTATGTAAGGGGACAGCTCTGCTTTTCAAAGCTAGCAGCCCAATTAGTTTCCACTACTGGAATCCTGCTTTTTCATTTCAACTGAATAACTTGTTTTTTCAAGAATTTGACAATTCCAAAAGCGATGATGACATCGTTTAGATATATGGTTTTTAATTTTTTGTTTTATTTGTATAAAAGCCTTATTGTATCTTGTTTACTAATAAGGGTGATGGATGCCTGTCGGCATTATCCTCCGACTGTGTAATCTAATTAAATATATCTTTCTGTCACATTAAAACCGAATGCTGCTTTCCATGTTTGAAAGGAGTTCCGAGTTTAACTGTAATTCATCCAACCCTTTACATATCAGTATTTTATGTGCACTTTTTCTGGGTCTAATATTTTACTGTTACTTGCTAGAAAACCAGCTGCTTTCAAGTTAGAATTTGTAGCATCTAACACAATTCGAATTTTGCTTATTTTTTTCCCCACCTTTAAAACACAATCATGTTATTTTAGTGTGGACGTGTTGCCATCTCTTATTTTTAACTGATATCCTATGATTTCCCATTCTCCCCAAGCGTGCTTTTGAGACGTATAGACCCAAAATATTCCTTCCAATATTACCTCATTAGGTTTCAGGTAGTTTTTGCTTTTCTTCCAGCGGCTCCTACAATGGAATCTTGCGATTGGAAGAATGTTCCTTGCTAGTCTTGAACAATTTTTGTTTTACGGAGTCTTGCAATCCCTTTAAAGCCCCTAAGAAAGTTGCAAGTAAGGATTAAATGCACTGTATTCAAAACATGCTTGCTTTGATCACACAGCCTTTTTTTCTTGCTTGTGCTGGGCCTGTTTGTTGGTTGCCCAACTCCCAGGATGTCCCAAGAGGGCTGGAGGCATTGATTTGTCTGTTCCGCATGTACAACGCTTTGTGCATCAGATATTGGTCACAATAAATTTGCACTATTCATAATAGGTCTTTCCTGCTGATATAAAGCTTTTGTGGGGCAGGTTGTCCCAGAACCTCACCCACAGCAGATTTTAGCAAAATAAACCACAATTACAGGTCTACACACAGATATAGAGTATTCTTGATCCCAATCACGTTTTTTTTTCTCAAAGCAACGCTTTTCAGTTAGTTTACTATCTCAACCCACTGTTTCTTTTTTTTCTTTTGAGACTTTCAAAACTGGACACATTTCAACTGTTGTTGTTTTTTCCTTTTGTAAATCGCTGGATCATTCTCCTTTTAAACTTGCAATTCCTTTTGAAGCAAAAACAACAGGGTTTGAGGTCTTTTACCCACTAGCCGTAGATAGAAACCAAAATGTTTAATCTGAATGACTTAAGCTTGGAATTGTCATGGTGTCTGACATAATAAATGTATGCTTCGTAAATGCTGTATCATAGAAGAAATGTCCAAATAAAAGGAAACGCTAAAAAGTCTTTATTCTTCGGTCTCTTGTATGAAAGGTTATTTGTTGGAAGGATGAATTCAGCAATAATGTAAGATATTACGGTATCCTATCCATTAACTTATCCCAGTGTGCGTTGGGTCCAATTAATGGCTGCCCCTATGAAAATCTGTCCTTTAAAGTTGCTTTTGAAAAGTCCTATATTCCAAAATGCCATCACTTGCATTGGATACCTGCATTTTGCCCCCAGCCATTTCTGCATCGAAAAGTACACAAAAGATGGTGACAATGGCCTTTGTGTTTTTTTAAAAAGGGGTGCATGTAAAAACACACCCAAAGCCAGGAGGGAGCGATAGCTTTTAGGCTACAGGTACCTACATATTTGGTATGCAGAACATCTGGACTAATTTTGGATACTTGTCAGAACTTCAGACATGATGGTCCTGAGCAATTCAAAAATGTGCATACTTTTTTGTGCCAGTTTGCTGAGGCGCGGGGGGAGGGGAGGGGAGTGGCAGGGGAGGTGATAGGCCAGCATTGCTGCGAGAGGCCACTTATGTGGTGTATAAATATTATGTGGTGGTGACCCTTTGAGAGCTGGATGCAACGGAATTTCATTTTAATGTATGCCAATTAGAGTACATTCAAAGTGATAATAAAGTTATCTCTCCATATCTATCTACATCCATCCATACACCCATGTCTGTCTCTTTTTCTCTCTAAATCACTCTACATCCATGTCTGTCTGTCTCTCTCATTCTATCTCTACATCACTCTACATTCCTATCTATCTGTCTATTTTCCATCCATCCACTCATCGACCCATCCATCCACCCATTACCTATCTACCTACCTATCTTATCTATCTCCATCCATCTATACACCCATGTCTGTCTTTCTATCTGTCTCTTTCTCACTCTATCTACATCACTCTACATTCATATCCTGTCTGTCTGCCTGCCTGCCTGCCTGTCTGTCTGTCTACCTACCTACCTACCTATCTTTCTGTCCATCCATCCATCCACCCATTATTCATCTAATCTGTCTCCATCCATCTATTCACCCATGTCTGTCTGTCTATCTGTCTCTTTATCTCTACATCACTCTACATTCATATCCTGTCTGGCTGTCTGTCTATCTTCTGTCCATCCACTCCTCCATCCATCCACCCATTATTGATCTATCTCCATCCATCTATACATCCATGTCTGTCTTTCTATCTGTCTCTTTCTCACTCTTATCTCTCCACATCATTCTACATTCATATCTATCCATCCATCTACTCATTATCTACCTATCCCATCCTATCCTATCCTACCCTTTCCACCCACCCCTACCTGTTCGCCTGTCTGTCTCTCTCCTCTCCTTACCTAGGTTCACGTGTGAATCCACAACCCCCTGGGTTGGAGACGGGGAGTGGAGCTGGCAGGCAAAGCCAAGCTCTGGAGATCCACTCAGGATAAAAGCAGCGGCCACCGGGGTCCTGCCGGGGAGACCCACCCACCCCTCCTTTCCATCTCCCCCCTCCCCCGCGGAGGGGGCCCGGCCGTCCCGAAGGCAGCTCCCTCCTCGGAGGCGGCCAGCCAGCAAACAAACGTGGCGCTCCGGCTGGGAGGCGGCGGCGCGGAGCCCCACCTCCGGCCGGCGAGAGCGGAGCAAGGGGCAGGGCGCTCACCTTCCCCGCCGCCGCCGCCGCCGCGATGGCGCTGGCCGACCTGTACACGCAGGTAGGAGGCAGAGGCGCCGCTCCGCCTTGCGGGGACCCTCCCGCCGGGGTCTCCTCGCTCAGCCCCGGGAAGGCTCCGGCTGCCGGTGCCGCGGCGGTCCCCGCCAGCTGGCGAGAAGCGGCCAAAAGGCCGGGCGTGCCCCGGCGGAGCCATCCGGGGTGGAGGAGGAGGAGGCGGCCGCCGCGGCAGGTGGGACGGAGCCGGGAGGGACGTTTGGAGCGGCGCTCGACGCTGCGCCGCGGGCTGGGAACGCCGAAGGAAGGCCGTTCGACCCCCCAAAGGCTGCTTTGCACCCCGGAGTTTGACCCTGCGCTCTCCCCCGCTCTCTCCCCTTTCTTTCTCTCCTCCCTCCCTCCTTCTTTCCTCCATCTTCCTCCTTCCACCTTCCCCCTCTTCCTTCTTTCCTTCCTTCCTTCCTTCCCCTCTCTCTCTCTCTCTCTTTCCTTCCTTCCTTCCTCTCCCTCCCTCCCTCTTTCTTTCTTTCTTTCTTTCTTTCTTTCTTTCTTTCTTTCTTTCTTTCTTTCTTTCTTTCTCTCTCTCTCTCTCTCTCTCTCTTTCTCCCTCCCCCTCCCTTCTTTCTTTCTTTTTCTTTCTTTCTTTTTCTTTCTTTCTTTTTCTTTTATTTCTTTTGATTTGTCAATCGCTTACAAGATCATAGGTATAAGTATATACATAGTTATGGTATTCAGCTTTGTTCGGGTATTTTCCCACTTTTAAAGCACAACTATAATGACGTGGGAAAATACCCGAACAAAGCTGAATACCATGCATATAAATACCCGCAAAAACTTAAGAAAACATATATACATAGTTATGGATACATGAAATGGGTACATATAAGAAAAAGAAACAATAGGACAGGGATGGTAGGCACGTTGGTGCACTTATGCAGGTCCCCTACAGCCCTCTTAGGAAAGGGGTGAGGTCAATAGTAGACAGTCTAAGTTTAAAGTTTTGGGGGTTTGGGGAAGAAACCACAGAGTCAGGTAGAGTGTTCCAGACATTGACCCCTCTGTTGCTGAAGTCGTATTTCCTGCAATCGAGTTTGGTGCGATTAACCTTGAGTTTGTATCTATTGTTTGCTCTTGTATTGTTGTGGCTGAAGCTGAAGTATTCATTGACAGGTAGGACATTGCAACGTATGATTTTATATACCATACTTAGATCAGACAGAAGACGACCTAATTCAAGGTTTTCCAGATCTAGAATTTCAAGTCTGGTGGCATAAGGTATTCTGCAACGAGTAGAGGAGTGGAGAACTCTTCTTTCTTTCTCTCTCTCTTTCTCCCCGCTCCCACCTCCCTCCCATCCTCGCCCTCCACTTACTTACTTTCTTTCTTTCTTTCTTTCTTTCTTTCTTTCTTTCTTTCTTTCTTTCTTTCTTTCTTTCTTTCTTTCTTCCTTCCTTCCTTCCTTCCTTCCTTCCTTCCTTCCTTCCTTCCTT